GAGAGAGAGAGAGTGAGAATGAAAAAAGAAAAAAAGGGAATGGAAAAAAGGAGAATGCAATTTATCGATCGCGAAAGATTAGGCGAAGCCGCGTCTCATCGATCGCGACTCAAATCGAAAAAAAGAAAAAAAAAAAAAAAAAAAAGAAGAAGAAAGCGGTGAACGGAGAACAGAGAAAAAAAGAAATGATATATATAGTTCAATATATACATATATATACAAAAAATTATATATATATATATGGCGGATAATGTCGAAATATTTTCTAATGCGCGTCGCGTCTTTAGGCTATTATTACATTAATTGTAAGACATTGCAATTAATTAATATATGTATGTAAGCGTTCATTCGTATTTTTCGATGCAGTAAAAAAAAAAAAAGAATTATTATTGTCTTTATTATTATTATTATTATTATTATTATTATTATTGATTGATTGATTGATTGATTATTGATTATTATTGATTATTATTATTATTATTATTATTATCTATTAATTATTATTATTATTATTATTAATTATTATTATTATTATTATTATATAAAAATTCAATAATAGTTGTTGGTGTAATATTATGAAATAAATCTTTAACAATAGCAAAAGAGAACCTTAATCACGCTTTAATCTTTTTCAGCCAATTTATCCTCGCTTTCACTCCACCTGAATAACCTACCTCGAAAGAAATAATCCCGACGAGAACTTTGCGCTTCTCTCATCGAGAAATTAAATCGTTAAAATATCGTTTCTCTGATATTCGTTTTTCTTTCCTTTTTTTTTCTTCTTCTTCCTCTTCTTCTTCGAACAAAATTCCTGACCACGTTAATTGACGATTCTCAGATCGAAGAGGAGAGAAAAAGAGTGGGAAATAGAAATAAAAAGCGGTACGGCGATAAATCACCGATCGATAGAATCGGCATACGGATCAATAGGGATGAACAGCGCGAGCAGTGACGCAAATAAAGGGTGCAGTGAGCGCGGCCAATGCAATTTATTTTCCTGTCGTATTGAAATACGAAATTTACCACGTTTTCAAAGAAGAGGAAGCCAAGGTAATTAAATAAAACGTCTGCGAGGGGAGGAGTGAAATAAGATGAAGAGGAATTAACGAAATTCGTTGGAGAGATACGTAATATCGATATATTACATCGTTCGACACGGCACATTGCGCGCGTCGGACGATAAAATACGTGAAAGAAGGGACCACGTTTGTGCGTGGGCGGTGGGATTGAGACACAGAGAAATGAATATTTCATGTACGAAGCGAGAAACGACGAAGGCCAATCGCATATTTCGTTCGTTTTCCAAAAACCAATTTTTGAAAAACTATCCTCACGTTTTAATTTCAATAATCTCGTTTTTTAATCTCAACGTACATCATAAATTCCTACGCGTGTTAATTAGAAAGATAACAATGTTCCGAGCGTCTCTTGTATTGCGCGCACACGTGTTTGTTGTTACGCCTTGAATTTTCTCGGAACACATTTGCGCGATGTTTACATTTCGAAGCGTATCGGCCGGAGGCGATATTAATTCGCGGAAACCAGAAATTCTAGGAAAATCGATGTCAACAAAATAAATTGGTCGTGAGAAACCTCAGTAGTTCGTCGACCGTCGTGCGTGTAACAACAGAGACACGTAAACGTAAACGATGTTTCTCGCAGCGGTAAAAATTATTGCGTAAAACGAATTGCGATTTCTTTAACGAATATCATTCTCGTTAAATCGTCCCTCGTCGTCTCTTCGCGCGCATAAGAAGGGAATCTACTAGAAATCTACGCTACTTCGCTCGTTAAAGCTCGCCGCGCTTCGTATAAATTATAAATTTACCAACGCGATAAAAATGTTCTCATAAATATTTAAAGACGGCGTTGAATATTAGTCGACCATGGACTCATCCTTTCGAGCAACGCGATCGAAGCGAAAGAATAATAATTCCAAGGCTGGGAGGCATCCCGACAACCGCTGGCCTGACTCTTCTCGAAAGACGGAAGCCGAGACCATGGACGAGCATCCTCGAGGAGAAAAAAGTAAGGAAAGAAAAAGGCGTACTACACGCGAGTTTTTATTAAGAGATAAATATATATACACGTGCTTCTCTTAAGGGAGTAATGGAAAAAATCCTTGGTGAGAAGAAGATCGGTGGCGAGCGGAGAGGACGGAGACGTGGTGCATGCTCGATGGCCTTGGAATAGCTCGACCTTGGCACTTGTGGTCTAGGCGTTCGTAGAGTAGGCGCGGCCCTGGGGCACGTCGCTATGGCGTCGCGACGAGCGTGCGCGAGAAAGCACCGAGGTGGTTTCCTCGCTCCACCTCGGCTGCACGGAGGCCAGCTAGACGGGGCAGCCGGTCAGACGCTACTCTCAGCCCAGAGCCGCGTCAACGTCCTTCCGTGTGCATCCCTTTCGACGTCTGCTAAAACCGACCTCCTCGTCGTCCACCGCGCTTCGTCTTCCCTTCTTCCCTTCCCTCTCGAAAAAAAACCTCTCTCGAGAGACTCTCCTCTCTTTTTCTCTTTCTCTCGACGAAGAGAATCCTCCTCTGCTCGTTGGGGGACGAGGTGCACAGGGGACAGGAGGTCTAAGCCAATCCTATCTAAGTCTGCCTCTTTCTTTCTTTCTCTCCCGAAAGGACGGTTGGATTTCGTTTCGAAATCGGTGGAAGGTGGTGGATCCGTGGTGCGCCCGCGCCCCTCCTCTCGCGTGCACGAGCGTGCGTAACGGAACAGGGAGCCGTCGGCGGCAAGGTCTGGCTTGACAACGCGCGACCACCTGTAGTTGTGGCCTCGAGCCACCCCTGACAGGCTCTCTCTCTTAGGGGCGAGCCTCCTTCCGTGTGCACTCCCCACCAGATCCTTCGACAGATCCGTCGGACGCATTGCCTGGACCCCGCGCCGTCGAGGAAGCGAAACCACGAAGCAGAGAGGAACCGGACGTCCAGACGCGTGCAAGCCTGCCAGGATTACCACCAAAATGAAGACGTCATCGTTCTCTCTACGCGTCATGCGACGGGTGAGTAATTGAACAAGCCTTTCTCTCTGTTCTTTTTTTTTTTTTTTCTATCCATTCTATTCATTCCTCGCCGCGTTGACCTCGTTCGCGATGGAGAATTCGTGATTGGCGTGGCAACGATCGTGTCGCGCGTCGATCTTCGTCGAGACGCGTTTCCAGAACGTTCCACCCTCGTTTGATATCGTTTATCGAAACTCGTTAGAACTCGCTTCGCTCGTCTTTATAAAGATCTCGAATGTGTCACGGTGGTTTAGGGAAGGAAAACCGGGGAAATATCGGTTCTCTTTTCTCCTTTTTTCGTTTTATCGGTATCTGTCGCGTATATAACGCAGAATTACGAGGGATAAAACGTTCGCTTTATCCCGACTTGGCAACGCTTTTCAATTTCGAAACGGTTCGCTAAATTTCTACCAAGTTTGATCCCGGTTCGGGATAATATTTTATTTTTCGCCCGTGTTTTTATCTCTCGGGGCGGGGAGGGGTAACCGCGTCCCGTCCAAGGGAGATACAGTTTCCCGCGTAATGTGCTCGAGACGCGCACGATAAATAACGAGAGGTTTGGCAAAAATTGTTGGGAGAAATCGCGGGCGTGAGAAGAGACTCGGTCGCGCGCAAATCCGAGTTGATTTATTCGAGCTTGTGCCGAAACACGTCCCCGTTGCATATTCCATTCGAATGCATATTTAACCACGAATTCGCATCACCCATCACCACGTTGGCGTCTCTACACACGAGAAGCAGGGGAGGTGGGAGGACCAGGAAGAACATCCGTCAAGCACCGGCCGGAAACCGAAGCGAATCGAACGGGGGGGGTGGGGAGAGAAATTTCAAGGTGGAGAATTACTTACTGCCATTCAAGCCCTGTGATTCACGGCTTACGTACCTGTTCTATTTGGCGATCAATTATCCTTGAAAATTATCAATTATCCTCTATTTCTCCCTTGAGAGGTATTAAGTTGTCGTCTCAAAAAAAAAAGAAAAAGAAAAAAAAAAGAAACCCTTCCCTTCTTCCGTCACTTTATTATTTCCCAAAAATATTTTTGAAGCGAGATAACAAATATAATATTTCGCATTTCTCGAAATCATCGAGAAAGAAATTTTTATTTCGGATATCAATTTCGAAAGGGCGCGCGATATCGCACGCGTTAATCGCGTGCAACGGGCTCCGCTCAAATTGGATTTCATCCGACAAAATGAAACGCATGTTGTGCGCGAAGGGAAGATATGTATATTTTTTTTTTTTTCTATTGGCGCATATTTCGTTTCAAATTCGTTTCTTCCCGAGAGGAGAGAAAGATTTCGTTTAATTTGCCCGACGCGAAATTCGTGGGAACAAAATTCGAGGATAAACTCGTTCGCTCTATCTAATCCCGCCCTTCTTCTTGCGGCGAGGCTCGTTCGTCACTGGATTTAGATTCTTCCTCCCCCCGGAAGAAACTTCGTTCCCGTGATAGACGATTAAATTGGAAAACGTGGTAGCGTGGTAATACGAAGGAGTGGTAGTAAACTTGACTCGTGATTAGTTAGTTTCGGTAGAACGATATTGTAGGAGAGCGTGTCGAGAGTGCGCAATTTCGTAATTCGTAATCGTATTAAAAAAAGTAAAGAGATACGGAGACGTTCGTATAATTCGTCCAGCCAGGCTTTCATGATTTTTCGTTCGATTGATTTCAGGAGTTTAGATATTAGGTGATATTGCGATTGATTTTTTAGCAGATTATTTTGTATCTCGATTACGTATATAGAAGTATTCTCGAAATCGTGGTAATTTGATCGTGGACGTGCAAAAATAAGTCGAAAGAAGGAATAATATTTTTTCAGTTTAAAATTTCGCGTATAAATAGTTGGCTAATTCTCGATTGGACGAATGAATGAATTATCGATTTTATTCCACGCTTTTTATTTATCCTTGCATGCCAAAGGATTATTTAATGGAGAATTAGTCGATTTCGCTTGTATTGTCGAAAAAAATTTTTAAACGCGATTTATCTCGTTCGAACGAAAATTTTCAATATTATCCTCTCCTCTTTTCGATTTATTTTTTTATGGAATGGAATCATCACCGTTTCATTTTGGAGTGCATGCGAAGTGATGCTCGACGGTAGTTGGGATAATAGAATATCAACTAGAGTATCGAATAATCAATATACAAAATTTCTGCCATATATCCTTTTCGAGTCGTAATTTCCATTAACAAGATGATCCTGTTGAAATCTTTTTTAATCTCGAAGAAAAATTCTCTCGACAATCTCACAGACTCGAAAACTCGTTTCTAATGGATCCTCCTTTGTCCTTGAATCATCATTATAGGAATCGTACGTTATCGAAATTTTGGATAGAAATTTCTTTCGTTCTCCCTTCTTTTCTTTCATTTTTTTCCGCTTAGCTTTTATAATATTGAATTCCCGAAAGAGAGAAAGAGAGGGAGGGGGGGGAGGAGAGAGAGAGAGAGCATTATCTAGATATTTTGCAAGATAGACCATTATTTTCACCTGACGCATGCAAAATACGAAGAGGGTTCACGAACACGTATAAAACTTCGTTTCATCGTTTCGGCCCCTTTGAACCGTGGCGGAATACAAAGAGGTATTTCGTGAGGCGTAATACAAACAATCCAAAATTCAAAGGAATTTCTCCCTCGCGGGCTATTTCCCTTGCCGTTTTTTATTGGAATATTTAGAAGCCTATAAAGCTCAGTTTCTCTATCCAGTCGGAGAAACTACAGTGCCCATGGAGAAATTAAATCGCTCGTGGGATACGGGATTTCGCAAAGGTAAAACAAGGATCCTTGACTTTTATCGTTTATCTTCTCGTTTTTTTTTTCTTTTTTTCATTCCAATTATTAAAAATTTCGCCACCAAATATCTCGGTTTCGTGTGTATGGACGAGATATCTCTTTCGCTCTCGAATGTTTCGAAGTATAAATTAATAATTAATAAAAATTCGAATACAATACACTTATCGACAAACGTAAATTTCTTTATATTTTTCTCATTTCTTTATCTCGTTCTTCTATACTCGTTCTTCGTGCAGATTCAAAAAGAAACTTATCGTTGATCGATGTTGCACGTTATTCTCCAATCCCATCTCTCCAATTTTATTCCATAATTTAGAGAAGTACAAATAAATTTGCAAATTTAATTCGTTTCTCGATCGTTCAGTCAATAAGTGTATCTCGTTCGTATTATTGACGACGTCATAGAAATATCTCTTGAACCCTTTCGACGAATAATATATTCGTTTCCATTCTTCTCGTGGAGATCGGTGAGAACTGATCTATTTTTCGAATTTTCCTGTCATCGAAAACACTCGGAGGGAAAATCTTTTCGCCACCTTTCGCGAGACGAAGGCAAATTTTGTCTCGAAAGTTTTCTCATTTTCTCATCTGGAATAAAACGGAATACTCCTCCTCTTCCTCCTCATCTTCTTCTACAATTCTCAATGCGATTTTCCTGTGTAACAATCGATTCCTCGTATCACCGATTCCTCCCCTTTCGCTCGGTTTGACCGGAACAAGCTCGTTTCCTTCCCCTCGACGTTTCCACCTAACAACGCGTATATACATCGTGTACATCGCTGGTATAAATTAGTTTGAAGGGGTTAACGTCGATCATCACGAGCATCACTTTCCCCGCCTATATTATATCGTGACTTTATTCCGCGAAACGAGGCCAGACACCTCGTTTAATCGCGACCGTCGAGTGGAAAATTAAGACTTGATCATTGCGTATATTTTCACGGGGGTAACGTAATACGATTTGTTTAACAGGGATACGCGTTCAATTGAGGGTAGAATGGTAACAAAATTCTAGCAATAGAATAGTAATGCTTTCGAATTTTTCTATCGTATGAAAGTAAAGGATATTGAGAGTCGTGCGATAAACGACTGAGAAACAGTTACAATTTTTTATTACACGAGTCTCGATATCGATTGAAAGCGCGATTATTATACGTATATATATATATATATTTAGGAAAGGTGATAAAATTAATTTTTAAAACTGGCGGAGGATAATTTAATTTCCTGTTTGACAAGTGACACGGCCGTGTTTGTTTCTCCTGTCAACTGTTTCGCTTCGGCTTTCACGGATAATATTGACCGGTCTCTGCGCAACATCGTGCAATTAACTCGGAGGATAATTGATCGCGACTATTGATGAAAAGTGCTCGTGTATCATATCGGGGTTAGTTTCTTTTCCCGTCGGACGATGGAGAAAGAAACGCGTCGAGTTTGAAGATGTTGCAGTTCCATTTCAATCGATTAAATTAGAAGGAATCGTCCATTAAGTTTATTTTATTTTCGATGTTGCAAAGAGAGAATATTGGAAAAGAAAAATATATATACTTCGACGAGTCGTGGTTGTTTTTTTTTTTTATTTATTTTCAAAGTTTTTGCACCAAAGAATTTTTTCATTAATCACTTTCATTTATGATGAGACTCGGGGATTCTTCCGGAAAAGAAAAACTTCTCGAATTAAAGAGAATTTGGTGAAGATTTTCGCGAACGTGGAGTGGAGATCTGAACGAACGCTAAATCTTCCGAATAATTTTCTCTTGAATAATTGTCCTCAATTTCTCCAATTACTAATCTCATTTATTAACTAATTCAATCCAAGCAAAGAGATTTGCGATTCCGAAAATATCGTCGTTCGTTTCGTACAAACGTTATAAGACAAAACACGAGATCTGTTCGAACCGTTCAACGCGCGATTTTCGATGGAAAAGTTTTATTTTATAGCTCGCGAGAAAATGGATACCCTCTCATCAGCAGCAAGGTCGCCCTCCCTCTCATCATCCTGCTCTCGAATTAAAAGTGAATACGCTTTCAAGGGGGGATCGAAACGTGATCACCATTCTCGAGGCGTGCACACAGAATGTTAACACGGGACGGGATCAAACGTGGATAGTCAAGCTTGGAGATTCGCGTACGGTCACGCGTAATCGGATTGGCCACCGCGTCGATCTTCGTTCGAGGCGGTGCATTCGATCGCCTCTAGCAT